CGTGGGATCTTGAGAGGCTCAAGCAAATCCTAGAGGCATTGTAGTTCAAAGGCCTCCTCCACCATGATACTCCGATCCATCGCCTATGCCTGCCCACAACCTTCCTCCACCAATCATTCTCATGCGCCCATGTCATCTCGTACATAGCCGCATGTTGTGTCACCTCTGAGGTAGTTGACACCCGCATGGTGGCTCTTTATGGAAATCACCGCTTGCGCCACATGTGGTCACTGACCCGCCATGTCAACTGTGCATATCCTAGCCTCTTTGGCTCGGCATGGTTGTAGTTCTTTCAAAGGCGATCGTCCATCTCCAATCATGAGTTGTGCTAGAGCTGACGAGGCATATGACAATGTAGCATGCCACATAGAATGATGGACGAGGTTGCTGAGTCAAAAATAAAAAGTGTGAAGATCATAACGACCACTTTGATAGTTCATGATGAAACTGAACCCAAAACGCAATGTTTGAGAACTAAATAAGAGAGTTCTATGATAAAATTACAACCAAAAGTAATGTTTGAGGACTAAAATAGTCATTTTGAAAATTTAATTAGAAAAAATGAGGCTAAAAGGATAGTAAAGGTAAAATAACTATTCGTCCCTTGTCTTTCAAGTATTTGTTTATCACTCACAGCAAGGGGATGAACGCAATAGCAAGACTGTTAGGCCTACTACCACCGCCACCATTGGTGGCAAGCAAACCATGATGCACAGGTCGAGTTATTTCTGCTGCTTCGTCACAATTTACAATATTTTGCGACAACTTTTTATGGCATGGATAGAAGTACATGGCTTAAATTCCGCCCCCTCCCCTCCCCCGGTCAGGAGCTATACTATACATTATCAGAGAATTGATTTGAAACTGACTTCTTTTGGTTGAGTTCTACCTCCGGGGTTCATATTAAATACTCCATTCATTCCAAATTATAAGACGTTTTGGCTCTTCTAGATCCATTGATTTTACTATGTATCTAGACATAAGTGTATATCTAGATTCATAGCAAAACCTATGTATTTAGAAATACCAAAACATCTTAAAATTTGGAATAGAGGACCCATGTAGTTTGTAGACTAAATCGAAATTACTTAGATATTTATATTTAATTCAAACTGTTCCAGCTCTACCTCCAACATTTTTATTGGAATTACAGATGTCTGCCTCTAAGGAATTCATATGTTTTTTAGAGGCGTAGCTCTAGCCTCTAGCAAACAAAATCAACTGCTGTGCCGTGTTCAGTCGACGGGTCAAACACACAGGCCGCCCTTTCCCGGTAAGCCACAGATTGTAGTAAAACGTTCTAGATGTATGGGCCTAGAATAGTCAATCGCTTCCTAAACAAACTACTCCTAGAAGGGTTGAAGAAACTGCACAATGACTAACAATTCACCACTTGGAACAAACAACCGGTTGGTGTTTGTCGTGATCGATCTATATTTTCTGCACTTCTTTTTTTCCTACTGATGCGATTTTCCTAAATAGTCGTTGTACGTAAGTCGTAATTATAGTACATCACAACCGTGTGAATCTGATGGGAAACAATTTAATTCTCATGGAGGTAGGAAAATATTTGCATGCCCCAAAAGAGCCCTTTTGACTTGGTTCTGTGATGGATGTTGCTCCTAAATTTCATAATAAATTATTAAAATACTCCAAAACTTGTTGTACTTCAAAAGACAGGACTAAATAGGAGAAACTTTTTTGGTTAGGAAAGATCGAAATACAGATCGTCAAATGGAATCGAACCTATGTTCGTGTGCAGGAAGGCGATTGCTGTTGACTAGTGTAAAATGCAAGGAGACAAATCAGCCCATGGGAACGCGATGTTATTTGACTACTAGTATGGAGCGAAATACTTTCTCTTGATCGAGAAAGTAAGTGAGCAGGCGTGCTGGTCTCATCTCATACTCTCGTCCACACCTGACATCGCGTTCGTTTTGAAAAATCTTGTTACACTTCCCTGCGGGCACTCATGACCAGAATCAATTAATTCTGACGGAAGGTTCGTTCAAAAAATAATAATAATTCTGACGGAAGCACCACGATGCGAACAGGTCACGCAAAATTGTTCCAGGAGCTATAGCTAACGTCAGGAACAGGAATTCTGAACGAGTTCTAGATGCACTCGTGTCTAACATATGAGGCCCAGAATTCCAGAAGCTCTTATCATGCAAGAACATACTTTGTTAAAAAATGCATATCTCGCTTCTTAAGTAGTCTACTTCATTAACAAATTTCATAAATAATAATAATCACCATTTATGTCTCTAGATAAATTTATTAAGAAAATATATTTTACGACTAATCTTATGACATATGCAACATAGATATTAAATGTTTTTTAAATATGTTTGATCAAACTTTAAAAAAATTACTCCTTAAAAGTGTTACGTATTTTTTTTTTCTGGACGGGGCCACGGAGGAACATGACTACTGGTCTATTTTTAAAAATGACGAGAGAAAAATGAATATGACACTGAAATATTAACAAAGATAAATTACAAACTCAACACAGCAGAGTTGATTCATACACATACATGTATGGTAACTTCAGCCTATCAGCGTCCTGACCGTTGGCTACTTCACTGATGACCACACTGTCCGCCACCCACCTCTTGCTTCCTCCCTTTCCTTAATCGCAATCGGATACCTTGTCGGATGCCCCGCCGCCGATGCCACCGTGGCCACCGAGAACCTCACCGTCCACCACCAGCAACCGGCGCAGTAGCTCGGCACTCGGTCGCCCCCGCCGCCGACCCTAGCCACCATTGTCCTCTATTGTTCGGTAGGCAGCGATACCGTTGCCTTGCCTCGCCACCCATGAACCGCCTTTGCCACCAGGCCGGCTGCCAACCTCTACCCGTCCCTCTAAGGTTAGAGGACGACACACTAGAGCCCAAACTACCCTAGCCTCCATGTCGCCACCGCCGCCTCCCTCCATTGGACGACAACGATGCAGTTGTCTCACCACTCGCCTCTTAACATGTGTACGTGCATCGCTCACCGGTGCCAATGCACACACGTCAAACAAGGATTTGGCCAATCAGGACAATATGGATCCACCTCTGTTTAAATAGGTTGATACTCTTTCCATCACTTTATTAGTATATCCTATGTAAAATTTCTCTCATTTGACCAAGACTATAGAAAAATATATTAACATACCAAATGAATGTATTATCAAACTATATTTTCGTAGTGGATTTAACTGAGCTACTCTATTTTTATAGTGCCTATACAACTTTTTTTAAAACTTGATCAGAATTAGAGAAATTTCTCCTTTTTTTTGCAACGAAAGAAGAATTATATTATATAATATTTGGGTACACACGTTACAGGCACTCTGGATTACACAAATATCCAGAAACTGATTTTTATCTAAATTGTACCCACGCTGTGAATAGCTCCAGATCTTAAAACCAAACCTGCACGGCGCTTTGCAGTATGGATGACCGCACAGGCAAACACTCGGCAAAAGGCCTGAGAACAGATGCCCAACGAACAACGGTCAACATTCATGTAGGCGGAGTTGAGAAACTTCTTTCCGGTGTCTTCTTCTTGTTACCACCGAAGAATGAGAAAGATTGATCTGAAACTTATTCTCCCTAGTTCTTCATCGTCGCCAGATCTAACCACAATAAAATAGAGAAGAGACCGGAGAAAATTATTCCATGGCAGTGACACCATCTCCGCCTTGATGTCGACGTCCGGAAATAAAAGTCTCCATATCGTCATACCGGTGAGGATGTTGACGCCGTAGTTGTCGCTCCAATCTTCAACAGAGCCGTTATGAAGAAAACGATTCCACCCTACCCATCATGGCCGAAGAAAAGGAGGAGGAGATAAATCCCCAAAACTAAAAAAAACTTGGTACGAAGAAACCCTAACCTCGAGGACTCGATCTACCGAAAAAAATATTAAAAACGATGGATCCTCACTTCCTCCGACATCCTGCGATATGCTGGAGGGAGGAGGGAGGGGGACCAGCCGTGGTGGAGCGCATAACTGTTAGCGGTGAAATTGTTTGTCTCCGCACCATGGCGTTGCTTCCGAGTCCCGACCTTGTTGCGAGGGAATAATAAGTTTCCCCGAATGCCGGGGATCATTGACGCACGCCGGGCCTTTCAGCCTCGCCACAAGCACGTCGACGACGGCGACTGCTGCCAATAATTTGCGAACGGGAAATATACAAAGTGATCACACATGAACATTCAACTGAATCTCTCTCTCTCTGTCAAACGTCACTAATTTTCTCTGACCAAACCGTGTAAGAATCTTCAAACGACGGGATATATGAACTCTCAAGTCAGCCGACGACTCGCGCCAATAATGACCCTATAATACTCCGGCTGGATGCTGATAAGTATTGAGCAGCAGGGTTGTTTCCAGGTCGTTTCAGAGCCAGATAAGCACGCCGGCTTCTCATCCAACCACCACCTGGCCACCTGGGGCAGTCTGCACTCACGTGGCCAATTGCAGCGTGACAAGCCACAGCGAAACCGAGAAGCTCCATTAGAAATATTGTTTGATGAATCCTCGATCCATTTACTAATTAATCAGCTGGATAATACTGACGCGTGGATGCTGGCGACGAAACCATGACTCGCATATTGCTTGCCCCAAATGCAACAAACAGCCTACGAACTGACAGCCTCACTTCCATATTTATACATGCACCGAGTCAAAGCACTACAGTACAGGAAATTTCAGAAGCAATAAGCCACAGGGTTGCAACTGAAAAGCCTTCAAAATCACAAGCACTTGCTCTGGACTTTTATAAAGTCCACCAAAAAGATTTGAAACCAGCATGACGTCAGCGCCAAGTTCGCCGTTTTCTGGTGAGTTTTGGATGCAAGACTCGCCCGGCCCAAAATATGATTTGGATGTCATGCGCCCAGCCTGTGGGCTAGCTTACCATATTTACACCACATCCATACTGCTACTCGACCTGGAGTTCTACGGCTACAAAAGCGTTGTTGCCGGTTCTTGCAAGGCCAGCTTCAGCAGTAGAACATGAACTGCTTGACGCTCTCCATCACCTTCGGCAGCTGCTTCACCGGAGCAGTGTGGTCTTGCTGGCGAGAGCTCGCCACAGAAGACAATCCTTGGTCGGAGAGGCCATCGTCCAAGTAGTGGCGCGCACGGAAAGCCGCCAGGTGTGCGTAGTATGCCGGGGGAACTGTATGCAACAGCACATGCAACTCATCAATTGGTCATCCGTGAGCTAAAAGGAAACAACATACAGAACATGGATAATATAACAGTAACTTCAGACAGAGTATATAGGAGTAGTAATTTGCAAACCAATTGCTGACCTATAGAGACTGATCGCGTGCATCGCACGTACCTGAAAGAAAGCCAGATCACGGAACAGGTAAATATGGTGGCCAAAGTTCGGACAGTGAAAATGTACCTATTTTGCTAAGGATCACAGGTGGTAAAAACTGCTTACGTGTAGCACAGTTTGTAGGTCAATGTCTGCAGTGCATCGGCAGTGAAATTATTTTCGTCAAACAGAACATGGTAGTGTGTTGGCCGGCTCGTTCCCTGCCAAAAGTGCAAAATGAGTAAACCACAAACGTTGAGCAGAGAATTCGTTTCAGATGTATCGCATCATCTTAGCATCTGGTCACCTGAATGCCTGAGTGACTACAAAGGTAGAAGTCGAATTCACTTGGATGGCATATCTTCGTGTCAACAACAGTTCCTAAGAACACAATAGAATTATTAGCCAGAAACAATAAGAATGCAAAGGAGAGCTGCATATAAATGGTTCATCAAAGAAGAGAACTAGTCATGTGTCCTCGTCAATATCAAGAACAATTGCACCCTAATAGCGAATTTACTTTACCTGGCAAAATATTTCCACTGCGATCTGTCTGTCCATGTGCACGATGATCTTCAGGGAAAAGCCGAGTGTGATGCCGCTTTTGCACCACTATGAATGTCACTGGAGGAAGGTAGCCCTCCTCCAAGCTGGCACACGCCTGAGTACAAACACAAAGATCAGAAAAGATGATAGATCAAGTAAAACACAGCTAGGAGAATACATCAAAAGAGAATACTATTTTAAAGAAAAGCACCTTTCGAATAGCATCCACTTCATAAAGCAAGACCTGGCTAAACTGCCCCTCACTGACACCATCTCTGCAAGTCAAGAAAACAAGTAAAATTAGTTCTACTCTCGTTTTTCAGGTGCACAAAGGCAATTAACTCCAGGATCGTTTCCCAAGTATACAAGGTGTAGCTGTTGAGACATGTACAACAAGCCGACAAGGAGATCCAAAACAACCATATATATATAGTTAATTAGTTAAGTAAACTGATCTAGACTACCACATATAAACGATCCGCTAACATGAGGGAAAATGGCAGGTGCTCTGCCTTTTCATGCAAGGAAACGAGATTTAAGTTCAGGCAGCAACATAAATCATTCAAACAGACAATTACGAACCGATAGAAAATTATCCTGCTTGGTTTACGGCCCCCATTTGCCTTATAGAATGACACAAGCAGTTCCCTGCATCAACAATATGACTTTTTAAAAAATGGAAAGATCATTTATCTGAAGGACAACAAAGTTAGACAACTAAGATGTTCAGCATGCCTGATCATTCCACCGTGAACAAGTCCCTTTTGTGGATCCTTCACTTGTGTGAAAAGATCAGTTATGATTTCTTCCCTATGACCTTGAGAAGACACAAGGCACCTGTACTTTGAAACTTCTGGCCAATCCATTGATGCAACAACCTATCGTAACTTTAACATGACTAATTAGAAACCAGAAGCACAAGGAGATCTCTCCAACAGGACATGTCAATGCCAACAAGAAGTCAAGGTGAAATAACAAATTGTTTCTTCAAAGTTCTGCCAAGGTAAGAGTAAATTATCCTCAAATAAATGAAAAGCAGGTTCCATGACAGAGGTCATGTGATGAAAATATCAACACAAATCAAGCTGAGAACGAGAGAGAGAGAGAGAGAGAGAGAGAGAGAGAGTACAAACCGCTGCAATTGACGGGGATGCATCCTCCCCTGGAGCTGGGTGGGTAACATCAGCTCCAAAGATTATTGTAGGCAAATCTGTTAACAAATGTATTCTCCTATTTAAAGCATCTTCAAGGACTGTATTACGGCCACCAACCTATGTGTAAATTGTGGAAAATGTAAGCAATCTCGACATTAGTTCCAAATTCCACTCCTTTCTTGAGCTATAAAAGCCAAACCCACAAACCACAACTTCAATGAAATCTCAATTACACTAAAGCTCAACACGGCCCAAAATCACAGTACAGGAACTGAATTAGAGTATCTACAAAGGCCATATTTAGCAACTGCCTAGCCACATTACCTTAACATTAATTTTAAGGGCTAAGTTTTGGAGATATTGTCTGCCACCTTTATGAACATTCTTAGGTAGACAACACTGAGTTATTACACCAAGCTCAGTTTCACAAAGACGCTTTATCCTTCCTGCATGAAAGAAACGCCACAGCTAAAGATTAAACAAGAATGCAGACAAAACGTAGCCAACAAATACTACAAACTTTGAAAGCCATTTGACTTGCTTACCATAAAAGAAACTTGCATTTGCATCTGGCAATACAACAATTAGTAAATCAAGCTGTGGCCTAGTCACACCTTGTTGGGCAAGCATTTGTGCAGATTGTCTATGAGTATTTCTGAGTGCAGCTTCTAAGTTATCTGGGCGTGCTTGCCCAACATCAACACAAGGTCTCCCATTTATTTGCTACCACAAAAAATGAGAACATATAAACCAGCATAAATAATAGTGAAACGAGTACATGATCAAATGTTGCATCTTTACCATGCCAATATCATTGCACGCCCCAACCAAGTTGTTGCAAAACATCCGGACGTCATTTGGATGCAAGCGAGAAGCAAAAGTCACACAAGCCCAATACTTAATGGATACTCCATCGATCAATCTCTGATAAACACATGTAAAAAATGTTGACAAATAAAGATATGGAAACATTTCAGTAAAAAAATGTGGAAACCTAACATTTACTACATTTGTGAATCAGTGAATATAGCACTTAATAAAAGTGTCACCAACAACATTGCAGGTGCACATGAAACTAGAATTCTTACCGAAAAGATAATTTTGTTGTGACTGAATAAAAGTAAAGTGGAGCTCAGAAAGAAAATAACATGTAATACCTTGTTGTTCATGTTCCACTGACCAATGGAAGGACTACACACCTTTTCTCGCCCAGAGTCATGGTACTTAAGCTAAAATGGATATAAATGATCATCAGTACAGACAACTGGAACATCAGAGTGTAAAAGATCATCCAGGAAAAGAACAAACTTACCGTCGGAGCTGGCAGCACACGCGCATCAACCAAGGCAAGTTCATTTGTCACCTTAATACCAAATTCTTTGGCACAATGATCATTACCATAGTTATTCCTATTAACTACCTGAGAAAAAACAGAGAAGGTAGGGTTTTTATTAAGAAGTAAAAACAAATAAATACTGAATACCAAACAAAACTATAGACTACAATGTACAAGAACAAACAAAGAGTCAACAATGGGATAGTAGTTACAAAATTCACCTCTAAAATGCTACCCTCCCTTTGAGTTGGTCGCTCACATGCCATCTTCAGGATGCTTGTGACTTGGCGCTCATTTAGCTTTCTAGAATAGCGTTGTCCTTCAAGTATATTGCAAACCTGCATAAATAAGTGTCATCCTGAAGAAATCTGACAAAAAACATTGACACAAACAGATGAAGATATAGGCACGACCTCCATGGGTAAATAAGTCGGTCTGCTATCACTGCCAGCTTGAAGGCATGGCCAGTGAATGTGTTTCAAACAGTAATTATATTGGTGTTTAAAGTATTGAGCAACTGAAACCCTTGTCTCATCTTGATCAAACCTGTATAAGCAAACATGAATATTTTAATATATGTGTCGTTAAAAAATAGTGCAGCATGAATTAAGGAAAAGAAGATCAATTAAAATGGAATAGATACGTTAAATCACTCAAGGGAAGTGAGGTTATCCCAGTAATCTTGTAACGTATGGCTATATCACGGCGATGTGTTGCCACAACCCGTACTCCTTTGAGGACTTTCTTCAACTACAAAGTGAAACGGCAAAATATGATACAATCAAACCATATAACATTAGAACTAAATGAGGATATAGTAAAAGTATGATGTTCAATACTTTTATGCGATCCTGGTCAGACAAACGCCTTTGAGGTGTCACGTATATTGAGTACTCAATGCAAAATCCAAAACCGGTTGAGCCTTGTAAAATGCAGTTGCTGAAATATCTGAAAGGGAAATAGACAAGAAGTGGCTTCTACAGAAAACCAAGCTGGTAAACCCTAATAAGCACTTGTATACAACATGCCACAAGATTACTTTCAGACTTTTTGCAGTTTAGACAAAGTATAGAACCAGTGCATTTGTGTCATTGGCTAATAAAAACAGAACAATATACAATCTCTATATATAATCTTATTAAAAATTAGCAAGCATATGGGCCCAAAAAGTACTGAAAATTATGCACAAAATTCTTAATATATAGTATTCCCTCCATTGCAAATTAAAAGGTGTTTTGGCTTTTTTTTAGATTCATAGCTTTTACTATGTATTTAGATATACACTGTCTAGATGCATTGTAAAGCAATGTATCTAGAAAAGCCAAAGCATCTTAAATTTGGAATGGAGTGAGTACAAAGCACACTTGCATGATACAGAACAGTAGTCATGTAAGGCTGTAATGGGTGACCTAACTTATTCCTTGATGACGGAGTAACAAAGGGCACCACGAATGTGGGTAATACATTATGCCCCCTCCAGAAGCTTTAAATTGAGCTTAGAGCACATACAGATAGTACATATGCTACTACTGCATGGGAGAGAATAGAGTGTGGCACGTGTGATTTAAGGCGAAAGAGTTATCCACAACTATACCAATATTTAAGGACAATCCCATTTGTGTAGCACGTAGACTTTGGTAGTACCCCCTCCAGCATTCCACACCACTGCCAATATCAACGCCATGTCCAAATGTCTGTGAGAAAAATGATCTTGAGATGGATACATACCTGTCACAGTTTGGGGAAAAAAAAGGTCAGAACTGATGAAGTGCAGAAGGATCATATACTTCGTCAGTCTGGCACACAATATATATATAGGCTGACAGGAATTCAATGGATATCAAATTTGCATGGATGGATCATAAAATTTGCATGGGTGTATCATAACTAGCATACTTTTCATTTGGACGTTCTCTCATAGCGATATCAAGGGCTTGGATAGTATCCTGTGGCAGTTCCCTCTGCCTACCAGCCAAGAACTGCCTAAGGCTGTACAAATCTAATTTTGCAGCATCTTTTATGGTCACCCTGTACTCTTTCTCACTGCAGGCAGCAGGAAGGCAAGGATTAATACAACGTAAATAAGCACATATAAAGAACAAGCGCACATGGTAAATAAACAAATTAAAACACCATACCCCTGGTTTGCTCTCTCAGGATTGGTTAGTTTCAGAACAAATTCTTTGGCTTTGAACGGTAGTGGACCAGCAGTGAAAAGGCCCTTTCTACCATCATAAACAGGCAGTCGCCCATCCAAGTATTGCTTGTGCAATTTAACGAGTTCGTTAACGATCCATCGATTTCTTTTCCTTGACTCTGATTCTGGACTAATCACGATCTGCACAAGTAAGAAAGGATAGAATTTGCACTCAAAAGACGAGAAATATGAATGTTACGGTATGTTGATTATACTATACAAACTGAGAATAAACTGGAGGCATGCAAGCGTAGAATTGCATATATAAAACGCGCACATTTTACGAATTACAATTCAAATAAAATTTAAAACAGTTTCTTTAAAGAAAACTTGAGAAACAGTAAAATCTAAACGAAAGAGAGAGGGGCCATGCATATATGCATACGTCGTAGTGGTAGATCTCCTTGTCCGCCACCTGGACGAGGAAATGGTTGGCGCGCACGCGGCACCTCCGGCCGAGCGTGCCGTACCCCGGCCGCGCGGGGAACACCAGCGCCTTGCTCGACGCCGGGGGCAGCCTCCCCTGAGAGCCCCCCTGGTCTGCCGCCCCCAGCGACGTCCCTAGCTCCCCCTCGACCCGCGCCGGGGCGGCGGCAGGCTCATGCGCGGTGCCCGACGGCCCCTCCCGCGCCTCTGCCGCCGCCACCACCGCCTTCCTCTCCACCTCGCCGCTCAGCGCCTCAACTTCCGCAGGTGGCGGCCTCGACGCCGGCGGCGTCGCGGCCACTTGCCAGCGCGGCTGGCCCTGAGCACCCTGAGCAGGCACGCCATGGTGGTGGTGTCCGCCACCGCCTCGCCCACCACCGACCGGCTGGTGGGTGCCGTGGAAGAACTGGTGTCCCCCTCTCTCGCCGCCTCCACGGCCGCCACGCGCCGCGCCACCTCGGCCACCGGGCTCCGCGCCGCCACGGCCCCGCGCTTGGCCGCCACCGCCACCTCCACGGCCGCCGCCACCACCAGCTCGGCCACCGAACTCTGCGGCGCCACGGCCCCATCCTCGGCTGCCACCTCCACGACCTGCTGCTTCGTGGCCGCCACGCCGGCCGCCTCCGCCGTCGCGCGTTGACATGGGCTGCGTAACCCTAATACGATGAGCACAGCTAGCAACCGCCAACTTTGGTGAAACTGGACTTGAGCGGAGGGCGGAGGAGACGAGGGGATCGTCGAGTCGCGAACGCGTATATATATATATATATATACGCCACTGATGTTCGCGCTTACCTGTGTTTGATGTGCTTGGTATGTGAAAAAAATTGAGAAATATGACTCTTTAATATGTTTTTTCATCGTGTCGATACGAAAGGTTAGTCTCAATATTATAAATAAATATAGAGGTTGATTGTCATTACATGATGCCTATTTTAGACCAGCAAATTAATGACATGTTAGTGGAAAGAAGTATTTAATGGAGTTGAGCTCAAACAACTAATAGATTTAAAGCACAACAGTGGGTAGAATTACATTATAGATGGAAATAGCAAAAACTACAGCAAAGTACTCCTAACGCGAGGGTTAAAAAATATGAATTAGGATCCGCTCCCCTTAGACGAAACTACAACACGCATCAACAACTACAGACGACAACAACGACAAGAGTACAATACAGGACAGCGACGAAAAGCACTACTACTACGGGTACAGCATCCCAAGACAACTAATCTACCTTGAAACCACGCATCTTTATTTCTGTGCTCGGCGGATTCTTCTACCGCCCTAGCTATGGATCTGCATCTTTTCGTGGCAATGGCTGAGTGAGAGGAACCGATGTTTCTGCTTCTAACAATTTCGAAGGTAGAGGTGCTGGCGGTTCTGCATTATCGGTTCTCCTTCTTTCAGACGGGTGGATAGGGATCCCCTCCAAGATCGGGGCATCCTGCCTTTCATCAACCAGCATCCTTCGCTTGACCCTGGTGAACAGATAGGCCTCACCCAGCTAATGAACATGCCGATCTTCGGCCTCCTTCAGAGCTTCTGACATGGCAGTCTCCCTGCTCTCAGCAGCTGCAGCACTAGCATGCACTTCGGCGAGCTGCACCTGGAGCATCTGAGTGAAGATCTCGGCTTTTTCGGCGCACTGGAGGCACGCCCTCAGCTCCAAGGCTTGTCGGTCATACTGCTCATCTAGAGCAAGCAGGTACGTGGTCAAGTACACCACGGTAGGACTATCTTCCTGCGCATCCCGCACTTGCAAAGCCTCCATGCGAGCCCTCCATGCCCATCGATTCCTATCCAAGGGTGAAAAGAATCTTATGGGGGTACGGGCAATGGGCTCTTCATAGAGCTGGCAAAGGTACCGCAAGGCTTTGCGGGCCACAACCTGGTAGGTGTTGGTGAAGCTAAACCCGGTTGCGGTCACACTCCAGGCTTCGGTGATGTCGAGGAACTCTTCACTCTTTCCAATGTAGACGGTAACCTCACATCGATTGGTGTCATGCTTCTCATACTCACGGCCCTCATACTAAGAACGATCTTTGACTCCGAGCTTTTGCAGGGTGGCATGTAGGATTCTAGGAAAACCCTCAACGTTCAGACAGTAACTACTAACACAGGCTCCTGCCATTTCAGGCGATGGCTACAAAGAAGGGCTAAGCAAAAAGCTTGCTCAAAGGGAAAACCCAAGCGAGCTAAAGTGCACCGAGTGGTGGTACCAATGGCTAAGCCAGGCTCTGCTTATAAAGGCGGAGCGGTCTGTGGTCCTGGCGCGGTTCACTAGGGTTCCTGCACGGGATCACTACGAACGAATCGACCAAATTCCGCGCGTTCGAGGCGAGTGACGTGTGGTGCCATTACTGAGTAGTACGACTGTATGACAAGGGTCCGACAAGAGCGCAGAAAAGGGGCACGAGGAGACGTGGGTCACTACTGACGTGACTCACAAGCGAACGCAGAGCATGAAGCCATAGTGCAGACCTAATTCTGTAACAAGAACGAGTAGGCCATGCACACTACGACACGCGTGACACCTATGGATGGCGTATCTGCCAGCAATACGGCACAACAATGCACAAACAGGATATGCATGAATGCACGTCCTATGCGTTCGATGTGAGCGATGTCCGAGGCCACGCCTGGTTCATCCACGCTTGGTTGTACTCGAGACAATTGGATTTTCGCCACGCTTGGTTCATCCACCAATTTATTAGGACCGCATGCAGTTGGGACTCTATCACAACCTTAACACACACAAAATACTAAAATTCATAGCACGGACATGAGAAGTGAAAGGGCCTAACCATATGAAGGAGTATATAGAAACTCAGCATCAACATAGCAATTCATTGGGCCATTGGGTCCTGCAAAAGAATCGGTTAGTAATGTTTGATATGAACTCAAAATATGCACAGGCCAACAGGGACACCATGTTTGAACCTTGAGACCAAATGCATTGAAATCAGGGTCCCTCCATACAACCATGAAGAGACGATGCTGCAACTACTCACATGAAATCGTTCTGACCCTCCGCTATGCACAACGCGCTGCTGTAGCAGGGCATCAGAGAGCTGCGCCGGTCCTACCCATCCGCGACCATCTACTATGCCGGCTACTTCTACGCGTACGTGCGGATGCTGAGGTACGCCGGTAAGGCGGAGTTCGATGAGGGGACGCGGACCGAGGCGTGCTGTAGCGCTGGCGGCGGCGCCTACACTTCGACATGGACCGGATGTGCGGCGCGCCAAGCGTGTCCGTGTGCGCGAGGCCCGACGAGCGCATTAGCTAGGACGACATGCACCTGACGTAGTGCGGCAACAGCGTCATGAGCGACTTGCTCTACCGCAGGGGCTTCGCGTCCCCAGCGCAGGTGGAATTCCCATGAAAATCGAGATTCAGCTTACATGGATGTTCCCATTTCAATAGTATGTCCAAAGAGACTTCGTGGTTACGCAAAAGTCAAACACTGAACACGGTTGGAGAATCAAGTAACAATGTAGTAACAATAGTAAAACAATTAATCAATAGTATAAAGAAAAGGTTACATACAAAAAAGGTTATCACATCGCCGTTGTTCATATACAGCTCTAGGGAAATTTTCTATTACTGAAAGCTCTAGTTTGATTTTGGTGAATTGATGAAACCCTAAGTGCTAACTTAGTTTATCAAGTGGTCATGAGATAGGTAGCGCACTCCAAGTGGTGAAGCAAATGAAGATAATAACATGATGATGGTGATGCCATGGTAATGATGAAGTGATCGGACTTGAAAAGAAGAAAGAGAAAAACAAAAGGCTCAAGGCAAAGGTATAAATTGTAGGAGCTATTTTGTTTTGGTGATCAAGACACTTAGTGAGTGTGATCACATTTAGGATCGATAGCCGTACTATTAAGAGGGGTGAAACTCGTATCGGAATGCGGTTATCAAAGTGTCACTAGATGCTCTAACTCATTGCATATGCATTTAGGATCTAGTGGAGTGCTAACATCCTTGAAAATATTTATGAAAATACTCTAACACATGTGCACAAGGTGATACACTTGGGGGTTGGCACATTTGATCAAGGGTGGTGAAGTTTAGGTGCAAGGGTAAGAAACTCCACCGGCGCCCTAGACAGAAAGGACGGAGGTCACTGGGAGTGACCGGACGCTGGCCTCGGTTAGACCGGTGCGTTCGGTCAGATGTAACAGCGAAGACGTTGGCGTCGGTCAAACGACCGGACGCTGGGTCGCTCTACGACCGGACGCTGGCAGGGTGCGTCCGGTCAGTGCTGACGTACGCTGATGTAGGGCGTATAGAGGAGACATTGACTGACCGGATGTTGGGTGAGTCCGGTCAAGCATGACCGGACGCGTCCAGTCAGGAAAAATCACGTTTGGAACCTTACTAGAAACGACCGGACACTGAGGTCCAGCGTCCGGTCACTTTCTAACTAACGCGTCCGGTCAGCAGACGACCATTGAAATCTGACGAACAGTATTTGAAGCAAGGGACACGTGGCATGAATCACATGACCGGACGTTGAGGGCCAGCGTCTGGTCGATCGGACCGGAGCGTCCGGTCACCTTGCATTGTGCCCAATGAAGAAGTACAACGACTCTATTTCGTGGGGGCTTCTATTTAAGTCTCATGGCCGGCTCAAGTTCACTCTCGGGGCCATTTGCATTGACATAGCAACCTTGTGAGCTTAGCCAAAGCCCTCCCACTCATCTCCATCATTGATTTATCATCTTTGTGGGATTGGAAGAGAATCCAAGTGCATTGCTTGAGTGTTTGCATCTAGAGGCATTTGGTGTTCGTGTTTTCACTGCGGGATTCGCTTGTTACTCTTGGTGGTTGCCGCCACCTAGACGGCTTGGAGCAGCGAGGATTGTCGAGCGGAGGGTGGTGATTGTCTCCGACTCTGATCGTGGTGATTGAGGGGTTCTTAACCTTTACCCGGCGGAGTGCCAAAAGGTACTCTAGTGGATTGCTCATGGCTTGTGTGATCCTCATCTTGTGTTGGTTGTGCGGCACCCTATTGAGGGTTTGGCGTGTGAAGCCAATTAGCGCGTGAACCTCCAAGTGAGTGAATCGCCACAACGAGGACTAGCTTGCCGGCAAGCAAGTGAACCTCGGTAAAAAATCATTGTGTTCATCATTGATTCCGAGGTGATTGGTCTTCATTGTTATTCATCTTTGTGATTGATTGGTTCATACATCTACACGGCGGTATAACCTTCTTGCCTACTCTTTACGTTACCGTAAACTAGTTGTCAAGCTCTTTAGTGTAACTAGTTGTGAGAGCTTGTTAGTTTGGTTAGTGTAGCTCTTTAGTTAGCCTTTGAGAGCACACTAACTTAGTGTAGTGTCATAGCTATTGTGTAAATAGATTCTACCTAAACTAGAATTGTGGTAGGTGGCTTGTATTTTTGAGTAGGCTAGCGCAAAACTCGCTTCGCCACATAATTATCTAATCCTTTTGATTAAGTGTTGTTGTAGAAATTTTTATTAGGCTATTCACCCCCCCTCTAGCCATTAGGACATTTCAGTTACAAGTATCGTATCTGGAAAATCCCTATTGAATTATATGCCTATCAAAATGTATGCTGCTCTGTCACTCCCACGGCCACTAATGGCCGGCCACCGGCCTCATCCCAAAAATGATAGGAAAAAATGGAGAACACGTTGGTACTTCTTTCTTTCTTTTGGCTTTACAGTGTACAATAGTTTATTCAACTCACAATGCTACATGAAATCTGCTGCTCACATGGCAAAAAAAACTGTCTTCCTATCCTACCTGCAGAACAGAAAGAACCGGTGTTCATTTGCTTGTGAGAGAGAGAAATATTCTAGGAAACTTGTCTCGCTTAGTATATTGCACATAGAAATATAGAACCCATATGGAAATCAAAATTTTATATTTTAGCCCACAGCTGCCAACCTATGTCGAGCTAATAGGTACAGCTAACCAGATTATTTTCATCTTCAAGCATATATCGAAAACAATGTGAGCCTATGGATCAGCAGTTGGTGCCTCTACCATCAATTTGCAACAATCTGTTTTCGTAAATTGCTACAGAAAATGAGCTGTCACGGACAAATATCCACTAAAAATCACGATTTATCTTGTGTAAAATATCTATAATCATACACCTTACTGAATTGGCAAACTACGTGCATATAGCTATTTGCCATGTCAAACTGTTAACTGGGCAACACAGTAGAAATATGGCTACAAGAATCTATGTATGCCTCAAGAAACTAGCTCATGTAGGCAACAGCGGTTGCCTCTCATCGATTCAATCCGATGGCTCTTTGAAAAATGGAAGCCAAATGAGATGTAGCCTCTAAAATGACACATCTATTCTAAAATGGAAACTGAGATACCCACATCATCAGCGGCACCGGCAGTCATATTTACAAAAGAAGATTCAGATGACCTATGAAAAATATGCACCACATGAGGCCACATGTCAAAAGAAACTTAATAAACAGCTTGCTATTTCTACAACAACATTAACAGGCATCCCAAAGCACATGCTAAAGCTATAAAAGTCTAGATGGAGATCATGGACACAATTGCAAAAAAACACTTCTTCAAAGGCCAATGCTAAGTGAAATCTAAATCAAGTATTGGAGTAATTTGTTAATACCATTTGAAGTGAGATAAAAATTTACCGGTGATTTTGGGTATCTTTCAACTCTATTAAGTCAATTTGTTTGTCATCTTTGACTTTAGCAAGTGGAGAGAAGAACTAAGGAGAAATGACGAAAAGATACATGAAATACAACAATGGTTGTTCAACAAAAAAAGTAATAAAAAGGTCAGTTTACCTAGTGCATTGAAATAAACACCACCGATATGCTCAGGAGAAAATTAATGGTCAAGGTATGCCCCAAGAATGCAAAGAAGCCGGATACAATATTGTGGCAACAGTTGGCGAATACTTACATCAAAATTGTGTCTGCGATTATATTTTAGTTAGACAATAGATGTGATAACTACAATAATAATAAAGAGCAAATATAAAAAACATTACCGCATCTTTGAAAAGAAGAATGAAGATAGAATGCCTTGTGCAACATTGTTAATATGAGAAACATTGTGGCCCTTGAATGCCCTCGAAGGATATTAAAACTTTACGCCCTCAGTAAAAAGACAGACAATGTAATCATCATAAACATAAAAGCGCACAACATACCTATCGTGTTTGCCTCAGGGAAAGGGACATTCACATCCCCCCCGCCCCCTACTAACCATTAGTAAATACTTTAAATTCTAATGTTCTACACAAAATTAGTCAGCTTTTATGAGCTATGCAGTTCGTTATGCATATCCTTTTTGTTGGTACAACTTGTTAAGCATGAGGGTACCACCATACAAAATTATGGGCTGCCTACAAAACCAAATAGTGAATGATCAAATAATCAGACAATGTAGGGCAGACCCAGTGCCAGAGGCTCACACATGAGTGGGGTCTGGGGAAGGGAAAAACCAAGGCAAGCCGGAGACCCAGTACTTCGAACCCACTGCCTAGTGACTCAGTGAGACAGCTCTCACCACTACACTAGGCCTGCCCTTCCAAATAATCAGACAATGTAGCAAAAATTAAATATGGAGCAATAGTACATATCAAAGTACAATATATCTTGTGGTAGATAAATCACCTGTATGAAGGTTGAACGTGTCAAAAGTGGTTTTTCTCCAACCTGCTGCTTTCTAGACTGTCACATTGGAACAACAAAGCAAAAAAAGGTTAACAGATAAGAAATTATGAACATAATACTACTTACTACAAACTAAAGAAAAAACACCGCAGAGTAATCAGTAATTCGGTACATCCACCAGACACCATGAAAATCCATGAGTGTGGAGGAATACTAACAAAATCCTAAGCTAATCTACGCACATGGAAAAAATGACTTACTTGGGTGACCAAGCTAAGAGTGCCACTCCACATTTTAGAAGGCATTAATCGCTAGGAAAGATGGCTTCATGTTTTGTTCGACAAACCCTTTTTCCCATTTCCTTTTATTGTAAACACCTAGTCCTCTCGATCCTTACTCCAGAACCACAAATCATAAGAGTTCTCAATTTTTTTTTGAAAGATCATAAGAGTTCTCGGTGGAAACTGCTTATTAGGAGATCATAGATGTTATCGACTAACATGTGAAAATAGCTCACGCAAAATGGATCACTCTTCATTTCTAAAGTCACCTCGAGTCGAGAATGCTTGCAAAAGGGAAAACATCAGCAAGCAAGTAACAAGAACAAACCTGAATTATGAGCATCACAATAGCAAAGATGCCTTTCATAACCTCCGTCGGAAAGTTAACACCGACGGGACCGAACTAAAACTTCCCATCAACCTTTGACATGAACACTAGGATGGGCTGCATAAACCAAGTCAAACATTAGCATAACACCCCAAGGCCAATCATTTGCTATTCAAGTGAACGTAACACTACAACAAAGGGCCATGTCAAGCATGCGAGGCATCGGACTAGTAAAAGCATTACTTCATGCACCAAATCCGGTGGGGCCATTTCACTCAAACACCGATCGTGCAAAGGTCTCCCGCTTGGGACTGAAAATGAAGCGTTTAGGCACGCACACACGGAGACCAACAAGGATGCGATCACCGACGACGAGGACGATGTTGAGCGCGCGAACTTGATGACATCTTGCTGCGGTGCATGTCGTATGCCCTGAGACACGCTCGGGGCTCGGCACCACCACCCGGGAGCAACAACGCTACATTCCACCACCCCATTCCTCACATCTCGGCGGCAGCAGCCAGCTCGTAGGCCCACGCCTCCGCCGAGATGCCGCTCGATCCCCGCGACCTCCGAGAGATCACGAGCATCCACCTACAACGACCACGCCATTTTCAAAGAAATCGGCGGCAATACATCGGAGAGGACTGCCTAAGCGAGCAAATCCAAGGGGTTCAGCTCGGCCTCAGTACCTTGTGATAGGCGTGGCGGTGTGTCGGTCGCGGATCTTGTAGATCTGGCCCGGCTGGGCACCGCGCTCATGGCGAATGTGGGCTTGGTCCGGCTAGGTTTCAGGGTGGGAGGGGTCCTGTCGAGAGCACGATGGTTTGATCCAGCGAGCGGAGCGCAGGAGCCCTTGGGAAGCTGCCTCTGGGATCTCGAATTCGGGTAGGAGTCGGGGACGCGGGGAGGAGAGAAAAGCCAGGAAGGGGTGAAGGAGAGAAGAGAGGAAGGTGGGGGAGGAAGAGGGGACGCGATAGGAAGGCGGGTGTTCCGGAGCCTCTAGCGTCGGGGGAGGAGAAGAAGAGGACGCCCGCCGCTACTCCGGGGGCGGCCCGTGTCGGGCTAGGAGAAGAAGAGGGTGAGGTACCGCCAGATCCAGGCGTCGAGTTTCGTCGACGCCACCACCGACAGCGAGGAAGAGGCAGCTAGGGTTTTGTCGAGCACATGCGAACTGGCGGGACGAGGCAGCGCCAGGGAAGAGCAGGGGCTCGGACGCGGCCGCGGCCACCGGCGTTGGACGGCGCACCATGGCGCCGTGCCAGGGGACGCCGCTGCGCCACGCACAGGGTGACGGGGAGCCTCGGTGGTCGCGATGAGGAGCGAGGGAGAGAGCGAGAGCGCGGAGAGGAGAGAGAGGAGGGGAGGAGCGGAGCTGCTGCCGCCTGCCATTTACACGAGAGAGAAAGAGGAAGGAGCACCATTTTACATGAGAGGACCACGGTGGAGCCATGTCGGTCGGTGGCCCATCCCGTGCCGAGCGTACCAGCATGGTCGGTGCATGGTCGGTGGGTAAAGAGGAGAGGCATTAAATGCGTCCATCTGTCCGAACTTGTTTTTAGCTGATGGTAGTACGGTGGGAATGCATGAAGGATGGCTGTGACGTGTCTCATCTGAGCCGTGGAATCTCTATCTAACACACCAAATAAAAAGAACATACGTGGACACTCTGGGAGGCCGCCGATTCGGCGTGCCATATATATATATATATATATATATTTCTCTATCTCTTTTGTGTCTCTACGACTAAAGCATCCATAACTATTCCGTGCACAGGTCCGACACCAAAACCGTTCCATGCGATTAGATCAGGAAGACAACGCACACTCACTCCATACGATCCGCTCAATCCTCATAACAACCGCAACAAATCAGTAGGCAAAAAATCAATCCCCATAACTACTGCAACGGCACCACGGTGGCCAAGTTTCTCATGTTCCTGCTCACCAATGCCGTATCCGTCGCCATCGTCTCCTCGGACACTGGGCCCTCCCTCCTCCTCCGCTATAGCGGCGGCGGCTATAGGCCCACCGCCACCATCGTCCACCTCTGGGATGGCTCCGCGGCGCTCCAAGCGGACCTCAACGCCATGCAGGCCACGCTCGCCGTCGGTCGTGCTGACCTCACGGACCTACATGCTCGCGTCCACACCGCCAACGAGCTCCTCCAAATGCTCCTCCAAGCCATGCAGGACCATGACAGTCGGGACCTCCCTGCGGCGCCTGACTACGGATGGAAGCGCGAGCCCGCCGGTGAGCTGTTCCCGGTGCTGGGCCACGCTTGCGTCCGCGTCCAAGACGACCTGGAACGCTACATGGACTACGCGCCCGACGGGGAGTGCCCGTCCGATGAGCCGCTCGCGCACAGGCTCTAGCTACCGCGCCGCCGGTGCCGCCCGCGGTCGCCCAAGGGGTACCCGCCACCGTTGCCGCTGCCCCGGAGCCTCTGGACCACGCCGTCGGACACCACCGTCGTGTGGAACACGTATGCGTGCAAGAACTACTCGTGCCTCGTGGCCGCCGCCCGCGGCGGCGGCATCAGCGGCTGCGACGATGGATGCTTCGACCTGCGTCACGGGCGGGGGAATAAGAATAAGGCAACACGTAAAAAAGGAATAAGGCCAACAGATGGGCACGCGACGATGGCGCGCTGTCCTACTCCATCGACGCCGTGCTTCGTGCGCGGCCCAATGGCACGGTACGCATCGGCCTGGACCTTAGCAGCGGCTCCCCCTCCGGCACGTTCGCGGCGCGGATGCTGGAGCGTGTGTGGGTCACTGCGCTCAACGCGACCGTCAACTCCAGCGCGCCATTCGGCAGCTTCATCGCGTCGCGCGTTCTGGTGCCGTTGTACTTCACCGCCGCACACCGGCTGCCCCTGTTCGACGGTACCATGGACATCATGCACGTCGGGCACAACCTCGGCGACGGCGGGTGGATGGCCCCGGCATGATGCTGGAGTTTGCGCTGTTCGACATGTATAGGGTGCTCAGGCTAGGGGCTTGTTCTGGCTGGACCACTTCGTCTACGCCGCCGCGCAGTTGAACGCGACGTTCGCGCCGATGATTGATCGCGTCGGGTTCAGGATGCTGCGGTGGAACACCGGCAGAGGAAAGGAGAAGGAGAAGTGGTACGTGTCGGCGCTGTTGGAGAAGCCCGTGACATGAGCATGAAAACATTTATGTGCGTTTGTTTTTTTACAGAGAAATTGTGGCTGTAATAATCCTATGAATTATGTCTTGTTCATTCTAACTTCTGGGCCCAATTGTAGAAAAATGCAATACATTATGTGTCAGCTTCCTATTGGTTGATAATTGTCTAAGACCAAAAAAAATTGGTGCCTAATTGAAAATTTTTTAGGTGGAATTAGAATCTCTATAACTAAAACATTCATAACTAAATCTTCTGGATTATCATTGATTGGTGACCAACTATAACTTAGTATTCGTGCAAATTACGTTCTCTTAGTTGAACTATTGAGAGATTAGATTCTTAATTGTAGAATAGATTATAAAACATGTATTGTGAAATATAAACTTGTTATGATTATCTTTACATGACATTTGATTCCTAAAGAAGTGCAAGCTTATCTTTCACTTATTGTAGGCATGAAGTGATGTGACAATTAAAGTTGATGTTTTAGTTTTGCATTCAAATTTAGAGTTCTTTTTTAACTATCTATCTTTCGTGAAGACTCAGGTAATATTGATTAAAACATTATGTGTCGGTGTGAAAAGTGACCAACAAGTAAATATTTGTAGTTTTGCCGTGCGTTGTGATCGGATGTGGCCTAGCACTCAATGACATATGATTTATACTGGTTCAGACAACGTGCTCTACGTCCAGTTTCGGTCAGTCAGTGACTTTATTCCTAAACCTAGGTGCTCAAAGTTTACTGTGAGGTTACAAACATGTACGAAATGAGAAGGGGGTGTTAGAGGCCCGATCGGACTCTAAACTAAGTGGTTAAGAGTGATAGGTGCGCTAAGTATTGGAGTGTATGCTCTGTGTAGCTGTTGAGATCTAGAGCTGTGGAGCTGTTCGAATGCTCAGATTCTCTAGATCCGGATCTAGAGAGAGAATCCAGTGTCTGTCCTAGTTGGAAGAGAGCGCATCCCCTTTTATAGGTGGAGGGGATGGCATTACAAGTTAGAGAGGAAGAGAGAGAGAGCGTGTACGTGTGCTACCTAGTCGTGTTGCTCACGCCATCGGGTACGAGACGATTATCAGCGTCCACAATACTGCCCATGCCCAGATGCATCTGATAGGTTTTATCGTGTTTGCCTGGTATGGTAAATGTCGGCGCCTACAATACTGTAAGACAAATGTCGACGCCCACAACACTATTTGGGTTCTGACATGCCTGAAAGATTGCATAGTACCCATCTGGCATGGCCTGGTGGAACTGTCCTGCATGTGTGCAGGGTATGGCAGGGTACGGTCCTCGGTATTACGGTTTGACTTGAACGCCTTACCTTATCTGCCCCGCCTAATCCTTGGGTCCTCACCTAGCAGGCATCTCCGGTCGGTCGTTCCCAGTCGGCTCCGACCATGTCGGTCGGAGAAGAATCATGAGCAGAGGTCCGATGTATTACCGGTCGAAAAAGGAGGTCAGAGTTGGACTGTATCCCCTCCTTGGCCAGGCCTTCCAGTCGAAGACCGGATCGTTCTCTCGGCCGGGCGTTAGGTAACTGGGCCGGCCCGGGAGACGCGCGTTGTTGCGACGTCATCTACTGAGCCGATGTTTTACTGAAAAGCGGGCCCATTGGAAACCCCGGATTTATGAACCCGACATTATGATTGCGATATCTATTTTAGATAACAGTATAACACATGTTCATATATATGTTATCATGGTATTATACGTTTTCGTTGTACCGCACGAGTATTTATCATATATATATATATATATATATATATATTTCCTATCCTACTCCCTGAAGTAGTTGCTCCCACTTACATGCACCTGTGTATTCTCTCCTCCTGCACACATGTAGCGTGTTCGGTTAGGTCTAGGCTGGCTGACTGGTCTAGGCAGCCCCTCTCATGACACTGTTCATATAAACCAGCCTGCAGTACTTCTCTTTTACATAAACAAACCAGCAACAATATAAACCAGCCCAACCGAACATGTTGATGATGGGCGTCAAGTTGATTAGCGGGTCAATTGTGTGGATCCGTTAACCGATGGCCTAAACAATCGGTCCTATATTACTTCTCTCCTCCACATTTGGATCGGAAAAAAAATCGGTGCCTCCCGAGGTGGCGGCGACAGCCTTCACCGCGGTCCTCCTCGGCCCCTCCGCGCCCCTTCTCGTCGGCGCATGGCCATCCCGTCGGCAACAGCGGTTCCAGAATCCAGAGGCGGCGGCGCCCATCCCACTCGCTCGGCAGGGGCTCTGGAGGCGGCACGTCCCGTCCCGTCGGGCGCTCCCCCACGCAGATGTGCGCATCCCTGGCCGTGACGGAGCCACGGCGGTGCCGTGGTCCAGGCCACATGGCCATGGCGGTGACACCCTCCCCCAGGCATGGTGGCGGATCCATGGCGGCGGCCTCCCCATGTTGGATCTCGTGCGACGGCGGCGACGACGGCCACTCCGATGGCATCGACTTCTCCCGAAGACGTGAGGGCCGTGAGCAGATCCAGTCGACGGCGGCGATGGCACCTTCCTCCCCCGGCGGACGGTGACTAGGTAATATCCTATGCGACTGAATCTTTTCAATGCCATTCGACGACAGTACATGCTCTTGCCTGCTGTGATCCTTGCCGTTCAACAGAGTTGGGAGTAGCACGGATCTCATACATTTTTTATTCAACAGGCATGATGTGCCCGATGCAATGGCGATGTTGAATTTGTTGTGCTTTGTTTCGTTTTTGGATCAGGGTATCCGACCACTCTCCAATTAGCGTATCCATCTATACGCCATACTTGGAGGCCACCATGAAAACGATCGTGAAGCTGGACTTTCAGTAATCATCTGGGAAACCAGAGGATGGTGGTCAACAGCATGACGAGAGCTGCAACCCTGCGTTCTTTTTTCCAGATGCTGAGATCAAAGTGTCACGTGATAATTTTTCAGATCTAAGTATCTTTGGATACCTTTTTTTAGATTAAAGTATCACTTGATACTTCTTTCAATATTGTAATTACTTTTTTAGATAACAGTAGTATCAATTCATACTTTTTTCGATTAATTAAAGTATCACTTGAAACTAAGAATTACAGTATTGATACATGTTAGCTTCTGACGATGAGTATGTATTAATACTTCCTTACGTTCTGGTATATACACGTACTTTTTCTAAAGATTTTATGTACATATACTGCCTAATTAAGAAGTATGTATTGATACTCTTACATATGTTTTTAGTTTCCATTAAAAAAGTATAAATTCTGGTATGCACACATACTCTTAAGGCTGTATGTACACAATACTCCTATACTAAGAAGTATGCATTGATACTGGATCTCTTACGTATGTAATATTTTCCAATTAAAAATTATATATTCTAAAACGGCCATGCAAGCGGCCGCAAAAAATCCCGTGATTAACGCTTCTAAATGGGTTCGGCATGCAGCATCAACCGAAGCCTGTTCGGTTGGCTCTGTTTTGTCTGGTTTGTTTGGTCGCTGGTTCGTGAAAAAGTACTAATGATTGATTTGTGTGAGAGAAAAATAAGTGAGTATAGAAAATGCACTATATATATATATACACACGGAGAATATATTTATTAGTTAGATATAAAATAAGTTATTCTATAGCCACCTTTATTTACAATAATTTTATATACTAACTTACGATAATATCACTATATATTTACAATAGTTGGGTTACTATAACACATCAGGATATTACCATAACGTTACAGTGTGGCTATATAGTAAGTTATATATATCGGCGTGGCCTGTGAGTGGGGACGCGAAGGAATGAAAAGCGCAAGCGACACGCGCCGGCGTTTCAACTGATGGGCCCACCAGCGCCAAGCCCGCGCAGGAGGGGAGGCGCCACGCCAGCCAGGCAGCTAGACCTGCAATGCAATTCTCTGGTGCCGTCCAGCCAGCCGTTCACATGCATGCATGGCCCCACGTCTCAGTGGGTCTCTTCGAGTAATCTCCGGTGGGGCACTTGGCCACTTGGGGCAGTGCACTGTGTGCGCGGCGCGACAGGATGCTTGTGTGACTGATTGATCCAACAGGCCAGTGGCGGAGCGGAGGCGGCAGAAGATCCGGGAAACGGGAGCGTGAGATCTTTTGGCCGCTGCGGTCACGCAACCGGTGTGTCTGGTGATGCTCTGCCCTCCGCTGCGGTAAGGGGTGTTCAGATCCGGTCAAATCTAAAGTTGTTGTGTGAAGTTGTCGTACGAGATATTCGTATACTAAAAAAAAAAATTATAGAATTTGTCGGTATTTTACGAGAAGAACTTATTAAGCCTAATTAATCCGTTATTAGCATATATTTACTATAGCACCATATTGCCAAATTATAGCCTAATTAGACTTAAAAGATTCGTCTCGCAAATTAGTCGCAAACTGTGCAATTAGTTTCGTAATTAGTCTATATTTAATACTCCATGCATGTGTCGAAACATCTGATGGGACAACGACTAAAGTTAAAAAGGATGAACCAAACACCCTCTATACTTGCACCATTTTTTGAATCATGGATGATCATGGATGGGCCTGGGATGAGACTTGAGAGGGAGGAAGAGAGAGGAGGCTACTCACCGTTCAGCAGTGAACATCTTTTCTTTCGTCTAGCTGTCCCAGTTTTCCAAATACGATAATCAATAATGCTAGGTCAGGTCCGTCTGTCTCCGCTCGTCTGAACGCGGCCTGTCCAGCGGAGTGGATCAATCCAACAACCTCTTCAAATCCTCTCGTCCGTTTTCTAATAAAAAACGTTCATCGCTTTTATCCGTTCGGTTGCTCCTGTCCACTCGTCGCTTCTATCCGCTTGCCTACCGCCTCCGACGAGCAGCGCTTGGCCACCGAACTGCCGGCTCTGGCTACCAGGCGCGGCGCTCGGCCGCCTCTGAGCCGCAGAGCTCGGCTGCCAGCCTTACCTGCCAGGCTCTCGTCCACCGGACTGCCAACCCAGCCTGCCAGGCGTGGTGCGCAGCCGCCTCTGAGCCGTGGCTGCCCTCTGCCTCCCTGCCGCGTCGCGT